ACACGGGCAGAAAAATGGCCGCGGACCACGTGGAACGGGCGGAAAATGGCTTGTACGTCGAGGAGAATTCGTAAGTAGAGGTAAATTTTTGGGGCCAGAGCTGATCGTATCTTGAAAATTTCGTAAGTAGGGGCGTTCGTAAGTAGAGGTACCACTGTATTTACATTGAAAAAAATTAATAAGCAATTTTTACCCCAGCAGGCAGCAGCACCTTGTCTGGGATCAGAAGAAAAACAGCAGAGTGGCCAGTTAGTACTTGGAAAGGAAATTTCCAGGAATCCTAGGGATGTAGACAAGACTATAATTTGGAAACAAGAAAGTAGGCGGTGGCAAACCATTTTTATAGTGCTGCCAAGAAAACCACATAACATGTCCATGAAATCACCAGGAGTTGACCTCAGCTTTAAGGAGATTTTATAATTACCAGTCTTGGGGCTCATAAAGCCTGCTGGTTTCAGCATGATTTACAGCAAAGTAATTTTTAAGCTGCCACCTAAGAAGATGACCTCTATTTTCTAGACAGACTTAAAGGTAACCTATACATTGCAGCCCTTGTTTCAAATTCCATGTGGCAAATTCATGTAAGGGCTACATTAGAGTAACACAGTTTAACAGGCTGTTGGGGAGGAAAGGGTGTCCATGAAGCCTGAAGGTCTGTTAATTCCAAAGATTTCTCCTCCTCCAGGAAATCCACTGCAAAGAAAAACATTTCTTTTGGGAAACAAATGCACTCAGGAAGGCAGATCTCTCAGGGACGTTATTCTCAGCGCCTGCATTAGGGATGCTGAACTGCTCTGTCAGCAGGAAAGGAACTGCTGCTACAGCACCAGTGCCTATCCCATTAGCCTGATTAAAAGGGATGCGGATCATTTTAGCCTAACCATCGCCATTTTGCTTTTGTAAACCACGCTTGTGCTAGAAACGCCATTAGCTTAAGGCATGACAGACACATACAGGATGTCTGGGATTCGCGGGCAAAAATGACTGACATCCAATTTGCATAACGGTTGTTGCTATGGTCTGCTACTAGTATAAATACTGCTGTT